AAAAGCTCGCAATATTTGCGTCAAATCTTCTTTAACCAAATCATGTCATTGCTATTAGTTGTTTAACAGATGATGGTAGTGTGTCTTCTTAGGTATGCCGTACGGCACTTCACCATTTCGTCACTTATCTAACCTGTACTGCCGTTTCTGTATCACAATTGTTAACTGCTCAGTCCATGTTCAAATAAGTAACTTATATGTAGGATTTGTATATTTGCACTACTAATTACATTTCTTATCAGTTGCATTGATACAACCATAATTTCCTTTTTATTTATTTATTTATTCTTTATTTCTTTTATTTTTTTATAGAAATAACATTTACTATCTGCTTGTCATTTGTTGAACTATTCGTTCACCATCTTTTTGCATATTTCTTGTCCCTAATTATTAAGCTATCTGGACTTGACGTAAAGTTCACGCAATATCAGTTGAAATGTTAAAATGGAACTAAAATCCCGATATCATATATTCTTATTTCATTACTTTTGGTGGTACATTTAGCCTCAGTTGCTCACAATCCTGATGTTTTTGAGTCATTCGCTTTCTTCATACTACAATTTGAACACTTCGGAGAGTCAATATTGCTTCAGCTGTTGGTTTTTACAGCACAGATATCACTTGTCAACAATTTTCACTGAAAGATTTATGATGAAGAGAAGTCACAGTTTTGAAAACTTAACAAGGAAAAACTTACTATTTAACAAGATAGCTAAAACTTGAGAAATGGACCAAGTCGAAAAGCCGAAATAAAATTAAGTACTTATAAATTTCCTGAAATATCTTAATCAAGATCAGGATTCATAATAACAAAACTATTGACTTATTATATTCTTTTCTCCGAGTACCAAACTAATCTCGTGAGTACACTTTTCTGTTACCTTCAAATATAAATTACAGCGTTTTGAGATGTAAAGTGAATTTTAGTACCCTTTGAAAGTCTGGATGGTATGGTAATGCTAATGGTAATAAAAATTTAGAAAACATTAATAAAAATTAAATTAGTGAGCTTTTAATAGCTTTAACTGTAAAAATAAAGAATAAAATTATTGATAAAAATAAAATAAAAATAAAATTATTGATACGAGACATAAGTTAGCAATTAAGACATTTTGAAATCATGTAAGTTATCAAGTGAAGTTTAGAAAATCATGGATTTGAAATAATGTTTGATGATATTTTTCACTACTATCTTTAACCTCAAGTGCACAATCACTATAATCAAATGGGCCCTGTGCAATGCAACGTAAACTGCGTGCATGATTACTAGATTCCTTGGTTAATATACTTCTACCAATCTCCCATAACCCCTTTGGTAACTCTCATTTGCTTAAAATCACATTTGCAAATTTTGTCATCGCGGTGTTTGCGTGTTTCGGTGTAATATTTATGCAAAGCTGGAAACTATTTCTTGCACTTTTCATTTTTTGTTTTTCATCCAGTCGGTTTTGCAATCTGCTTTCATTCCATTATGCATGCACTTGCAGTTCATTTTACCGCTTATTCTGCTGCACGATGTGTACAACATATTTATTGAGTATATATTTGTTAGAACTATTTGTTGTATATGTTTATGACTATATAATACAATTTTCTGTCATTCAAATATCTACTGTACTCTACTAATCAATAAGATATTTTAACGAAGCTTCTACTACTATAGAAGATGGTATCACCGTACTAGAAACTTGAAATTATAAATTTCTGAAAGTGAGAATGAGGTGAAGGAGTGATATTAGGAATGCAAGCTCCTTTATTACTATCTCGTACACATAATATCAGTAAAGGATGAATAACCAAGTAGTGATACGGTAGCTTATATCACCACACTGTAGCATCAATTATGTATCAATACATCCCGCAACGAAATTCCTCCTACAGTAGTACCGAGAGTAAAAACACCATGCGCGACTCACAACATTGTTCGGTCCCGGGTGAGAGAAGCGTGCGCGTCGTCTTTGATATAGCGTTGTTATAGTCGTTATCGGCGCTGCTACGGAAGATCCCGTCTGTGCGAGTATATGGTGGATATCTGATCGGTTCTTGTCGTGAGTTTCAGCCATTCGGGTGTTTCCCCGCGGCATCGCGAAACAGGAGTCGTGTAAAAATGACTGAAGACGAAAAACGCAATTTCTTCGCCCTTGCATGTAAGTTCAACACTTCCACACCCCCATCAAAAGGCTCCCTAAACTTCGTAGGCGGCTACAATGCATGCATACGGTTCGGTGTTCGGCGGCAAATTTGAATTTTCAGACTAAAAATTTCAAAAGCTGGTCGAATTTACGTTGGGAATGGCAGGGAGTTGTACCGGAAGAGCCAATGCCAAAATAACTTTTTTTCCCGATATGCAATGAGTTTATTTACATCTTAAATCTAATTTTATTCTCAATCCCAAGTATTGTTTTGAATTTAATTCATACAAAACATTGTTTTTGCTGTATCATTAGCCTTCATTTGCATAACGTAGAATGTGCATCTGCTCTCCATATCTAGTAATGAAGTTTTAAAGCACGGATTGTTATTTCACAGTTATTTCTGGCATTATATAGTTACGATAAAAAGTCGTTAGAATTACAGTCACTTATTTACTTGTAACCCTCGGGATACTGTATTCGTTAATGTTCAAAATTCCATACCTCGATGTAGTATGCTTACTTACATCCCATATTTTTCTTAACTATAGAATAGTACAAATTTAAGTGGTGGTCCACTATTCTAGATTTACATCCCTACCTGAGTGTTAATTATTAAATAGAAGTGATTGCTCTCCATATATAGTATTTGAATATTAGGATAAAAAATAAAATAGCGAATTAATGATTCGAAGCATTAATTGCAAAATTTAGTTCAGATTTCGCAGAAATCTAAATTCGTTTTTCCAGCACAGTTTTGTGGTAAATTCTTCTTTTAAATTTTTTTTTTCTTTGTAAATCCATCATTGTATTTATTTTCAGCTTCACGAGCTCCAGGCAAACGACAGATTAAACCAAATGCTAATATTTTGCTCGATGCCATTCCACTTAGCGACAGTGACGAAGATGACGATTTCATTGGTTAGTTGTGAGACTTCAAAATTTATTTTGGAATTTATGTCAATACTTCTTGCTGCTTCATTCCTATTTACTTTTTATACGTATTTATATTAATACTATAAATTCAACAGTAACGTATGATGAAGCTGGATTTATGCTTCAAAATTTCATAAGCAAGTTAAACCGTCATTTTTTGACATCTTTTGTTAACCATATAAAAGTTGTTTTTCCCCATGGCAGTTGGAAGGACTGGCGATGAGTCGTCGTCTAATTCGGATTTGTCAAGCAATGATGGCGATGAAGAGAAAGATGATGGAAATGACGGTGAAGCGCAAACTTCAGATCTGAATGAGTCAAAGTGTGGACCTGAAAAGCACCAGAATGAGGTCTTCATTCTCTTTCTTGTCATTGTATTAAAGTTTTCTTTGGAACCTTCTTCCTTACCGGATCTTTTTACAGGATACGAAATCAGAATTCGACGTTACAGGTGCAAATGGCTACAACATTCAACCAGTAATCTTTTTTTTCAGCTAAATAGTTTCATGCTTTTGACCATTTCCGGGTTCTTTAATTTTTTCATATAGAGTTAGCTCGAATTTCAGCGCGATAAAGTGTTTTTTATGAGTTGAAGGGCAAAGATTTTCATCCATTCATCCATCAGACTAATTAGGTCGTGAATGGAAGTCAAGATAATCATTTAAAAGGGAAGGATGAATGACATTTTGTCACTATATTTATTAGTGATAGAAGTTTCATCTTTCACATGAACATGAAATTTTCTGCAGGAAGATGCCAAAATATTAAATGCAGAGTTGTCCTTTTAGGGTCAGTTGATCTGTACATTGTGTCTAAATCAACGTGCTGTTGTGCGTAATGATGAAGTCATTCAGTGTGACAAGTAAGTTTTTTATACTACTGAAAATTATGTTAAAAAAATGTTAATTTATCGTTAATGAAATTTTAGTTTCTTAGAAACCAATAATCAATATTCATATGCAAATGAATCATTTCCAATAAAATTCACTTCATCTTTCAATACCGAACAGTTGTTTTACTGACTTTACTTTTAGATGTGGAGTAGCAGTGCACGAGAATTGTTATATTACCGAAAATGTAGGGGATTCAGAGAGCGACGGTTCTAGTTCATCAACAGAACCATGGTTCTGTGAAGCTTGTTTATATGGCCTCAAAGAACCGCCATATTGTGAGCTGTGCCCAAATAGATTTGGTGCTTTTAAAAAAGCTGGTAATTTTCATGAATATTTATTAGGTTTCGTTAGATTTGTGAGGGTTACACATTTCACATAAGTATTCTTCATACGAACACACATATAATATATTAGAGATGTCGAGTGCTGTTAACGAATTATATAATTTAGAATATTTCACACATTACACTGTTTAGACCAATGTTTAACATCTTATCACTGTTTCTTTATTGTAAAAATGGAAGAAGTTATGGAATGAAAGAAAAATAAAATGAAAGAAATGCACACAGATAAGTGAATTGTTCAAACTCGACATCTCAAATTACCTAGTGGAGTTGCTCGAGTGCAAAATGTTGACTCAAATTGAGTGTTTCAGACATTGGTGGTGGTTGGGTACATTTGTTATGCGCACTGTATACTCCGGGTATAACATTTGGTGATGTGGAGCGTTTGTCAGCTGTTAGTTGGCAAGAACAAGACTATAAATTATTTGGCAAACGAGTATGATTTAAAGCAGTTTTTTGCAGTAACTTCTGGACAATTTACGATGTAAATACTCGGAAAAAGAAGAGTCGTGTAAACACGTCGTCGATCTTTCCATCAACCTATATTTTTTGTATTCTGAACATCTTTAACAACTATCAGTAACTTAAGTTAGCTGATGGATTTAAGCGGCCAATGTGGTGGACCTCCGTAGCAGTTTCTGGCTGTTTGCATCGCCATAGAGAGATGCACTGCTGCTTTGGGCTCATTTCATAAGGGAAATGTGTTATTCTCTTTCAATATTGATATAAAATTTCTATTTATTTTTGAATTTAGGCTTGCATCGCATGTTCTGATCCACTATTAGCACGTACGGGTATTGCAGTGCCATGCGATGCGGCACTGTGCAAAAATCACCTCCATGTCACTTGCGCACAAAGGTAACCGTTTCCGCGTAAAGGACGAACTAAAAGCTTCATAAGTAAAACAAAATGTTATTTGTCGAAATCAGAACATGCAAATTTAGGTCTTTCAGGTTAGGTTTATTGATCGATAACACAGAGAAAAGCATCGATCCGAACTTGTCAACTAGCACGCATACAAATAGTAATAAGTAATGTTTGAATTTCCATCCACTTGTTTCGTCAGACGTTTATATCTATTAGTTTTTGATTTCCGTTTATCTTATATATATATATATATACATATATATATATATATATATATATATATATATATATATATATATATATATATATATATATA